AAGGTTAAATACAGCTTCAACTGGTCTACTACAAGTCATCATCCTTACCACAAAATAAACTAAACTTGTCTTTAAAACAGAGGTTAATAAAGCATTAGATTTATAAGATTAAATACAGCTTCAACTGGTCTACTACAAGTCATCATCCTTACCACAAAATAAACTAAACTTGTCTTTAAAACAGAGGTTAATAAAGCATTAGATTTATAAGATTAAATACAGCTTCAACTGGTCTACTACAAGTCATCATCCTTACCATAAAATAAACTAAACTTGTCTTTAAAACAGAGGTTAATAAAGCATTAGATTTATAAGATTAAATACAGCTTCAATTGGTCTACTACAAGTCATCGTCCTTACCATAAGCATATCATTGAAGAGGAACACTTCTCTCTGATGAATTCCTGCTCTTTCTTTCTTGTTTACATCATATACTTCATACAGTCGGCAATAACAGACCAGTCTTCTGTGAGGCTGGGCCAAGTTCTGGAAAGTTCAGTCAATCAACTATTGATTTTGGATGACATGACTTATTCATTTTATTTACTGTGCATCAAATTCTTTAAATCATTGCAGTAAACTTTTTATTTTAAAAAATTCCCAGTTTTTATTAGAATATAGTGTTTTTACTGTGTTATTTTCTGAGTATTTACTTTTTGCACAATTTCAAACCTTGAAAATAATTGAATGATCAGGTAGATCATGTCTAAGTTGAGAAGTATGTCAGTAAAAATTGGAGGTAAAAAAGGAAACCCCGTTCTTCTGACCCGCTTGCTAGTGTCTGTAGTTTAATAGTAATAACGATTATAACAACAACAAGTGGATCTAAGAACTTATCCTGCTCTTTGTTTTTAGTTTCCAGATGCTATTTTGGGGCTCTGTACCCAATGAAGAACTTAGCAAGAAGCCTGAAAAAATCAAGAAAACAGAAAACTCAATCCACACGTTAACACTAAAAAATAAGTGATTCATTTACTTACTGGTTTCTTGCCAACAATCGTCTGCTGCACCTTCATTACTTGGGTCACGTGGTCAGAACCAGTTTTGAATTCACTTGCTTTGATTCTTTCGTAAATTCCCGACAGCATATCCCGGTCTAGGTCGTGACCATCATCTATTGCTAGTTATAACAAGAGTACAAAGACTTGAGATTTTAAATTACATATGGAGTGCTTATCATTAGCTTTCATTTCAATAAGTTTCAGCAAGGGATCGATTAGGATTTCAGTATGAAACACATGAAGAACACACTAAACTTGCTTGGAAGACATGGGTTTAAATCATGACTTGAAGAATAATTTCTACAGAATCAAACTCTATGTATTAAAAATGGGCTTTTTACAAGTCCTCAAGGAAAATATTTGTTAAGGGAGGATTGTAGTACAAAATGATAAAATGTTGGATTAATGGAATATTGTAGTATAACTTTATAACAGGCTGGATTAATGGAGGATTGTAGTACAAAATGATAAAATGTTGGATTAATGGAATATTGTTGTATAACTTTATAACAGGCTGGATTAATGGAGGATTGTAGTATAACTTTATAACAGGCTGGATTAATGGAGGATTGTAGTATAACTTTATAATAGGCTGGATTAATGGAGGATTGTAGTACAAAATGATAAAATGTTGGATTAAGGGAATATTGTAGTATAACTTTATAACAGGCTGAATTAATGGAGGATTGTAGTATAACTTTATAACAGGCTGGATTAATGGAGGATTGTAGTATAACTTTATAATAGGCTGGATTAATGGAGATTGTAGTATAACTTTATAATAGGCTGGATTAATGGAGGATTGTAGTATAACTTTATAACAGGCTGGATTAATGGAGGATTGTAGTATAATCTGATAATGGGCTGGATTAATGGAGGATTGTAGTATAACTTTATAACAGGCTGGATTAATGGAGGATTGTAGTATAATCTGATAATGGGCTGGATTAAGGGATGATTGTAGTATAATCTGATAACAGGCTGGATTAATGGAGGATTTTAGTATAATCTGATAACAGGCTGGATTAATGGAGGATTGTAGTATAATCTGATAACACGCTGGATTAATGGAGGATTGTAGTATAACTTTATAACAGGCTGGATTAAGGGATGATTGTAGTACAATCTGATAACGGGCTGGATTAATGGATGATTGTAGTATAATCTGATAACAGGCTGGATTAATGGAGGATTTTAGTATAATCTGATAACAGGCTGGATTAATGGAGGATTGTAGTACAATCTGATAATGGGCTGGATTAATGGAGGATTGTAGTATAACTTTATAACAGGCTGGATTAATGGAGGATTGTAGTATAATCTGATAATGGGCTGGATTAATGGAGGATTGTAGTATAACTTTATAACAGGCTGGATTAATGGATGATTGTAGTATAATCTGATAACGGGCTGGATTAATGGAGGATTGTAGTACAATCTGATAACGGGCTGGATTAATGGAGGATTGTAGTATAATCTGATAACGGGCTGGATTAATGGAGGCTTGTAGTACAATCTGATAACGGGATGGATTAAGGAAGGATTGTTTATAACTTGTTAAAAGGCTGGATTAAGGAAGATTGCAGTACAACAGCATAATTGATAAGGGGCTGGATTAAAGATTAATTTAGGAGTTCAAGTTTAGGATAAAATACAAAATAATGTGTTGACTATTTTTAACCCATTGACCGCTGATTGGCTGTATAGGGTACATAACCAATTGACTGCTGAGTTACTGTATAGGGTACATAACCAATTGACTACTGATTTACTGTATAGGGTACATAACCCATTGACTACTGAGTTACTGTATATGGTACATAACCAATTGACTGCTGAGTTACTGTATAGGGTACATAACCCATTGACTACTGAGTTACTGTATATGGTACATAACCCATTGACTGCTGATTTACTGTATAGGGTACATAACCCATTGACTGCTGATTTACTG